TAAATATTGTCCTGCCCAGCAGGACAGAACGGAGACAATGGCGCAGAAGTCAGGGTATCGGGGAATACGGGGTTTAATTACAGGTAAGGCAGGCAAAACGCAGACGGACAATAGAATGACCGGACTGGGGAAACAAACTGAAACGCGGAGGAAATACAGAGGACTAATGACAACAACCAGAAACAGCTGATCACACGGGGATTCCACACGGGGCTAAGGAGGGGGCGTGGCACACGGAAGGAGCGGAGGATCGGGGCAGGACACATTGTTTGGATAGATTTATTTTCTTACTTTAAAAATTACTGTTTTGATAAATGTGCTAAGATGTGTTTAGTACAGTATATACTCTTCTGGTTTTATCCAGTTCATTTTGTGTTTAAATGCTAAAAAAAAAATACATATTTCGGTGTAATTTTTTGGGGCCGGGAACCAATTAATTAGTTTTTGTCATGAAGCGTGGTCGGCGGACGGACAGAAAGGCAATGGGAGCCGGTCAGACGGGCAAACGGGGTTTAATGGGATAGACAGGGCTGACGATCACAGGCAGGGTAACACCACACTACACACGTCAATGACAGAACTGGGGACTACTGACTCAGACACGGACTAAATACAAGAGACAAGCTAGACTTAACAGGACACAGGCGATCACAATTAGGGCTGAACACGAGGTAACGAGGTGGGCGTGGCACACATCAGGAGCAGACGGAGCGGATCATGACAGTTTTCCATTATTTCTTATGGGGAAAATTCGATCAGAACTCGAACTTTTTAGGATTCGATCCGGAGTTCTGAACGGATTAAGTTTGAGTTCTGAGGTACCACTGTAAATGAAATTTACGCCCGGTTTCCGTTCATATGAACTTGTCTGCGCATTTGACCAACAAAAACCATGCACGTCAAAAGTGGCGCATTGTTAGACGGTATTTAGCGGGGCGTTTTAGAACTGTTGAGATGCACGCTTGTTATTGACACAGGTACGCGCTCGAAGTGCACTAAGGGTTTTTTATATTAGGCCTATTTTATTTAATTTATGTACGTTTTTATATACTGTACATCTGGTCCTTTCATGTAATCATACTGTTTAATGAAACACGAAAAGAAAAACAATATATATTAAGAACAAACCGTATCATTTAAAAACCTTTCGAGTCCAATATCAGAATTAAGCGCGTACTGTAATTGAAAGGACATTTGGATTGCTGAAAATGCTTTTAAGAAATTTAGGTACGTCAGGTGGAACATTACAATACCACCATGAGAAGGTCGCAGAATTCTTTGTGGCATGTTGTATGTTATGTAACATTGCCATATGCGATGGATGTCTGTTGGACATGGGCATCGACCCATTAAATCTGAGGGGGACGTGTCCCCCACACATTTTATAATTATTCGTTTGGACCCCCCCACATTTAACATAAAATATTAGTTCAGCCAGCGCGGTTTCTATTGCTTCGCGAAAGAATCCATTCCACTTGATCGATATGAGAATACACATACCCCTGAAAGACCACTCCGGGTTTGCAGGAAATGGCATGTAATTCATTAAAAAAAAAATCTAG